TTCTTGGCCCTTGTAACCATGCCAGGTATGGGTTTCATCTTGTGGAGTGGGACTTAAATCAAATCAGAAAGTGGTTGATTGTTCCTATATCTATGCCACTATTGCACTAGTGGGCGTGTCTTGCCAGGCTGGTCATTCTTGTAGCTCATAGGGTTCACAGCTGGGCAAGGTTAAGGTTGCTTTTCTCTTCCAGTAACATACATAACATCTTCCAATACCATGAAAGGTAGTGAATAGGAACAAAGTTTCAAGGTCAGTGCCAGTTTGGTTTTCCCATGTTCTATCACTCAAATATGAGAGGTCTTCAGCATGGAGTCTTACTATCAAGTTCTGGAGGGTAAGCAAGATCATTGGCAATAGCTATAATGTTTGGCTGTGTATGGAAGGAACCTCACTGGCCTACAACTCCAAAAGAGACAACCAATTTCTAGCACTTGATTTTATTTGCTAGCTTGTGGTGTCTAGTAGGGGTATTGAGAGCTATAGGAAAGGACATAGATATGTAATGTCATAATGGTGGTTATTATTATGTGGTTACAGGGTCAAGACAGATACTTGTTTGACCTGTTAGGAACCAGGACTAAACAGTTCTGCTAGAGATGTTTGGTAAATGCCCAGCAAATGTTATGCTCCAGAAGAGGCTAAACAGACAACTAGGTAATACTAATCCTTGCCAACGAGAGAAAGACTAAGGGGGAGGGTAAAGACAATCATGTATTTAATACACACAAAGCTGAGAATTTTTATTTATCAATAAAATAAGGGTGATGAGCCGGGCGTGGTGGTGCACGCTTTTAATCCCAGCACTCAGGAGGCAGAGGCAGGCAGATCATTGTGGGTTCAAGGCCAGCCTGGTCTACATAGTGAGGTAAGGTCAGCTGGGACTACAGGGAGACCCTGTCTCAAAAAGACAAAAAAAGGTAGGGGGTGATGTTAAAACAGCAAGTTTTTATGCTAAAAGAATTTTAATAATATCAGATGTTTTATGGCAATGTTCCCCAGAAAATTAGAGTGCTCCCAAGGCACACAAAGCATTTCCTTATTAGTAGATAGCACCTTTCTATACCAAACATTTCTTCCAAAATTAAAAAAAATTTCTGTCTGAAATTTTTATTATACAAATCCTTTACTTCCTTGGTTTATAACAAGATATTTTATGGGTTTTGAGGCTATTGTTAATGGGATTATTTCTTTGGTTTCTTTCTCAGTATGTTTGTTTTTGGTATATAGGAAGACTGCTGAGTTTTATGTATTAATTTTATATCCTGCTACTTTGCTGAAAGTGTTTATCAGATATAGGAATTTTCTGGGGAAGATATTAGGGTCTTTAATACATAGACTCATACCATCTACAAATATGGATATGCTGATTTCTTCCTTTCCAATTTTTATCCCCTTTTCTCCTTTATTTGTCTTATTCCTCTAGGTAAGTCTTCAAGTACTATATTGAACAAGATTTAGTCTTGTATCAAAGTCATACTTCATAGTAGTAATAACACCTAGCTCAATCAATTATAGAAGGAATTCACCTTGGAGAAATAAGACAATTTTTGTCCTCTGGGATGTCAGGTGAGGCTGTTGCTGTCTTCCCTACCATCATCTTCCCAGTGTGATGCAGGCTGCAATGCAAAATCAAACTAGAACAGGGCTAGGAATCAAAATCTTATAATGTGCTGGACAGGATGCTGCGCTATCAATGATCATCTTTACGTTTTCTGGAAAAATTCTATTTTGCACACTCTGAGGGTAAGGATAGAGAAAATCAACCAGAATCATTGACTGAATGTTGTTTTGTGTCCTTCAGTGTGTTACAAATGAATGCCAGAAGATGTCATAAAAGTGAGAGAAAGGTATCTTCCAAATGTATAAAACTATACACCTTCTGATAATCTGTGAAGATGTTATCCTAATAGATTATACTTTTGGAAGAATTAATGTAACTATGGTGTCCAAACCTTGTGGATCTTCCTGTTATCTGTGTTTCCTTTTTTGAAACTCTACCAAAAGATAGTATTACTATTTAGAAATAAGTAAAGTTAGATGGATTTGTAACTAAACTCTAAAACAGTATGTGAAAGGACTGATTTTCTCTGGCCCAAAGAAAAGCCTATGGGAATATTATAAATACAATGGCACTTCAAAGGACTGAAGGCCCATGGGAACTGGTTACATAGGACAGATTTTCATGAACAAGAAATAACAACTAGCTATATTGTATGAAAATCACAAAAATTCAATAAAAGATATAATTTTAAAAGAATATTTCTGGTATAGAACTGACATAGATGTTGGGCAATCATAGGTGAGCTCTGGCAGAGGAACAAATTGCAAAACTGAAAAACAGTGACCCCCAAATCCATGTCAACACAGAGGACTGGATTCAACGGAGATGAATTAAATAGAGACTTCCTGGGCTCAGCACATGCAGTAAAGGTAAACTGAGCCACAATAAACTGCATTAGGAAAAGAATAAGTACTGAATTCAGTAAATTGTCCACTCTCAGATTGAGGTTTTCTAGAAATGTTGAGTCCACGTATAGATGGTGCTGTAAATTTCTGATAATTTAGTATTAGTATTAGTAATAAGTAATTAGTAATTAGTAATTTAGTCTTTAGTATTAGTATTAGATAATATTTTAGTTGTGTGGTTAATAGTATTCATTCCTCACAGTACTGGCAAACCGTTGTAGAAGAATTCTGCTAACCAGAAATAATCTGTAAAATCAATTACCAGGGAGATGTTAGGAAAAGATGTACAGATGGCTACATTGCATCTTAATGGGTACAATTTATCTTAATATTGATGCTCATTTCTATGGTAGGGACTCAGTGAAAAACATTCCTAAAATTAGAATCTATACTAAGAGAAAAAAATCGTTAGATCCCTGTGCTTTTTCCTAGTTGGACTACATGTGATGTACTATTTTTATATGATGTTATGTGTTTAAAATGTACAGTGATGAAAATGTATTGAGTTTTCAGAATAATGGTCAATACAGTAAAATAATGGTCAGTACAGTGTTATATAGGGAATGCTGGAAAGAACTAAGAAGTGTATGATGGGCCTGAGAATACTGAGTGACAGTGTAAGAGCTTCCCACAAATATTAGGAGAGAGCTCTTGTACAAAAGCAGGACTGTGCTTAATTTGGTAGTCTCAGTGCTTAGACAATGTCAGGAAGTATAAAGGAGACTGCACATCTCTGTCAGGGGGAGACTCCTTATATCTCAAAACTCAGGGTTTGTCTCCAATCTGTAAGCGCCAGTCATTGACTGATGAATGAGCAGACGGACTCTTCCAGGGACAATGAAACAACTCTCAGTGTGTGAATTTTGATTCTGCCTTTCTGAATGAGGCAGTCAGTGAGAGAATCTACTTTTTTATTATTCCCAGTAGCACTGTGGGCTGCAGTGGCACTCAGCAGGGGCCAGGATAGCAATATCCATGTCCAGGGAGGCACTCAGGAAACAAATGATCTGAGGCATTCCAGCAGCTTGAAGGTGGTCTTTGAAGGGTCCCTCTGTGTGGCTAGCCTCAGATCTGATTTAACTGGTTCCCTGACAGATGATTAGATGAGAGACCTGGAAGTGAGAGGTCTGCAGCTTCAATCCTGGTGGTGACTTTGGCTTTGGTCACCACCTTGTTTTATCTCTTTGTGCCAATAAAGATAAAACCCACGTCAGTTTGTTTTAAAGCACATCACATTCAAATAGTTCCTAACTTTCCTTCTTATATACCCATCTTTCTGAAAGATGCACACTTGGACAGTTTGAGATAAAACTGTTCTCTTTGTATGAAATCTTTATGATGTGCAAGAAGTAAACCTTGCAAACTGACATCTCTGATGTTGATGAGCTACTGATGTTCCTCTTTAAGTCCCCATTTGAATGTTGATAAAATTTAAGTTTAATGACTAAGATGGTTAATAGTGTCGATTTGACATGATCTAGAATCACATGGGAGACAAGAGTCTGGGCATGTCTCTGAGGGAGTTTCTAGTTTTGTTAATTGAGCTGGGAAGAGCCACTCTGCACCATCCCACAGGCTGGGGTCCTAAACAGAATAAAAAGGAGAAAGCAGGCTGAGCATGAGCATTCATCTGTCTTTGCTTCCTGACTGTGGATGCAGTATGACTAGTTACTCTCTGTCCTGCCCTCCTTCTTTCCGTGCCATGATAAACTGTATCCTCAAACGGTGAGCCAAACTTCTTCCATTTGCTTTTGCCAGGTATTTTGTCACAACAATAAGGAAACTAATGAACACAAAGACCCAGCAGACTGTCTTTGTTATCAAGACTTTATAGTTCCCTTTCTTAGACATCATCATAATGGAAATTGATTTCTAAAAGACAGCCCCAGCATAGGGCGTCCAATGTTATTTATCCTGACAATAGTAACTTTATAAGAAATGGATGGTATTAGCAGAGGTGGCAGAGTTTTCTCCCTACAGTCTTTGCCAGAAGAGTGTGAAAATTACAGAGTAGCTACTTTAAGATTTAATACTGTAAATTTCTGTATAGATTAGAGGGAAACAACCCTAGCATCATATTCAAGCATTTTCCTCTTTTTTAAAGAGCTGTTAAAACTTGGGCCTAGAAAATGTCACTGGCCTTGTGCCTTTGGGTGATTGTTCTGCAGAGATCACTGTTTGTTTAGCAGTGTCCCAGTGTCCTCTACAAAATTCTGCACACTGCTTTACACACCTTTATTCTCTTTAAGGCCGGGGATGGGACTTCAAGGATGGCACAGATTTGTGTTACTTTCGTAGTGTAGTGTGTAGAGTAAATGACTCTCTTCCACTTAGCCTGTGAGTCTATTACTTGGATTTCTTTGAAATACTTTGGACTAGTATTGCCTGAAATCAGAACATGAGGAATGAGTCAGGTAAGACTGTTAATCGGATAGAGTCCCTGGGATATTAGGAATGCAGACTCTTTTTTCCAGTCAACAGAGGGGACTTTATTAGGGTCCCTGGGGTCGTGTCCCACAGACTGCTCAGTTCTAATTGACCTTCTTGGGGAGCAGGTTGTTGGTATGGCTGCACTTCTTGCAGCAGTTGACCGCACAAGGGGGCAGGAGAGCATAGGACTTGTAGAAGATCATCTTGTCACAGTTGTGCTTCTGGGCGAGCTGGCAAAGAGATGGCTCAATAATGCCACCGTGCAGGCGCAGCACCAGGTGCATGGTGGACTCTCTAGATGTTGTAGTCCGACAGAGTCCCGCCATCCTCCAGTTGCTTTCCAATGAAGATCAGGCTCTGCTGGTCTGGAGGGCTGCCTTCCTTGTCTGGGATCTTGGCCTTGACATTCTTGATGGTGTCACTGGGCTCCATCTCGAGAGTGATGGTCTTGCCTTACCAGTCAGGGTCTTCATTAAAATCTGCATTTTGGCATCTGCTGTGGGGTTGCATCCCTGAAGAGAAAGAGGGCAGCAGAACATGAAAGTGCCCATCATTAAGTGTTCAAATTCTAATTCTCACAGCAACATTATAACTGCTTAACCCACTTATTTAACAAATATTTAATAATTTTTTATATGCATATGTTAGGTTTTTGCCCAGGCTGAGCTGCCTTCTGAGCCCTCCCTTGGCTTTTGGACATGGCCACTGGTCCACAGCTCTCTTGTTCTGTATGTATTCATACCAAGCTCCTTCCCCCATGGTACTTGCCTATTGTCCAGCTGTCTTGCTGCTGTCAGCACACCGCCACATCTCGCCTCACCTCTCTCCTTCCTTGCACTGCACCTACTGCCAACATCTACTGTCACACAGTGTCCAGTGGCATTCCTTTCAACTCATACCATACAGTTTATTGAGTTTATTGTCAGTTGACTGTTCAGTTTTCTGATCTTACTTATTAAACTGCAGTTCTCTAAAAATACAATGAAGAGAAATAAAGACTACAATTGAACACACATTTCCTTAGTCATCACAAGCTTCTGTTCAGGTCACAAGAAACCTTCATATCACTTCCATTCTTTGGGATGGATTTTGATAAAACTTCATCATGGGTACTTCTTTCTCTGATGTCCTGAAGAGCCTGATTATCAGATATTAAACCCCATTACCTTGGTTCCAGAAAGCTAGCGACACACTCGTTCATGAAGGTACAGCTTTATGTTAACTGCCTCAGAATTCCTGCAAGGGAGGGTCATACAAAACCACAGTGGTTTCATTCCTTTTTCAGAATTTTAGTAGCTATGGAGGGACAAAGAAGTTGCCATGCAGTATTCTTCTCCAATTCCATATACATCAACTTTTCTTTGAACTACAACCCTGATACTATGTACCCCTCTTACCATGGACAAAATTATCAGTTTTCATCATGTGTTTGCTTAAATACAACCCCACATTTCTGGAGATCCACCTTTTCATCTTTCTACGGATTTCTTTTGGTGGGGGTTCTTTTTGAGACCGGGTCTCCTGTAGCCCCAGCTGTCCTGGAACTCACTATGCAGACCAGGTTGGCCTTGAACTCACAGAGATCTTCCTGCCTCTTCCTCTGGAGTGCTGGGATTAAAGGCGTGGTATGCCACCATGCCCAGATGATTTCTTTTGTTTTACATTATGTGAAAGCAACAGGAAGATCTTCTCAAACTACACAATTCTCACTTGATTCCCCAGAACTAAATCTTTTTTTTAATTTTTACAAAAGCTTTGAGAATTTCATACATGCATACATGTTTTGATCAGTCCATGTCCACTCCCTCCCCTCCAACATTCCCTCCTCTGAAGAGGTAACCCTAAAATCTTTTAAGGCTTGAATACAAGCTCCCAAATACTTTTGACATTTTTGGCCTTTGGAACAGAGTATGCTGCTAACAGGCCCAAGGACAATTTGAGTTTTAGCCAAAAAACTGGCTACATTTCTTTGGGGTCTTTTTACCCTAACTGCTTAGCCAATTCCTACCTCCTATTCTTATCACATCATCCTCTGAAGGGGTTACCCAAATTGCCAATAGGGAATTGGGACGCTGACCATTCTGGCTTCTTCAGTGCTGAACAGGGATGCAGGGTGAAGCATTTGTAGTACCCATTCAGTAGGTCTATCTAAAAGACTCCCAAATTGCATAACTCTTCTGTCTAAGGGAAGAAGAAAGTCCTTGAATCATGAATAGGAGATGTGAAGGAGAAGTAAAGTCAAGAGTAATTAGCATTGCAAGTTCTAGACAGGGAACTAGAAAAAAGTCAGAGCAGGGCAGTTCTCAAATGTTCGTATGGAAGTCCACTGGAGTTTCTTGACAAGGGCTTCCAAAATCTTAAAATTAATAATAGCCAATTATCTGACATGACTTTAGAAATTTTATATTATTTGTTGAAATTCAATGGTATTCTTTGCCAAAGTAAAACCTGTGGGAGACAGGCTTGAGCCTAGGGTGAAAGTCTTATTGACAGCCATACAGCAGGCCCAAGGCAATGGCCTGACTGCTAGAGCCACAAGGAATGCCTATGACATTTGCTCCCATTGGCAGATCATGAGACTGATGCCTAGAGCTCGCCACTCCCTAATCACCACCCTTGGAATTCCAAATTGCAACACCTAGATATTGTAACAGTCAGGGTCATGTGGTTTCCAGGAATCCAGGCTCTGTAATCAGAAACCCAGTGTGCTAATGAGGCATCCTACCCACTATTCTGTGATAGGATGTTAATATGTTATGCTAATAGGATGCTAAGTCTGTTATGCTAATAAGGTATCTTACTTGATGTGCTGTGATTGGACCACTACCCCTATATAAGCTTGTGCCTTCCTGCACTAAACCAGACCTGTGTCACTGAACCTGGTCTCCTGTGTCTGAATGCTGCTCGGCTGATACAGTCTCCTCACCGGCCCTGGGGTTCAGGACCGGGCAGAAGCGGTGACAACAGGAGGCAGCACAGGGCAAGCAGATGAGCTGCCTCAGCACCAGGCAAGCAGAAGAGCGGCCTCAGGCCAGGGCAAGCGGAGGAGCAGCCTCAACACCCATGAGAACGAAGGAGTGGCACCCATGAGAAAGGAGGAGTGGCGCCACTGGCAGTGACCACAAAAAAAAACAAAGTGAAATAGCATTTATTCCATCAAATTCATATAGCCAGGCCAATGAGTATTTACCAGCCAAACCACCTCCCTCTCTCCTGTGTATCTTCTGGAAATATTAAGCTGGTATTAATGCAACCAGCTAATTTTAACTAAAATGAAGAAGAGTTGCATCTCAAAATAAAATAAACTTTGTGTAAATGTATATTAATATGAATTCCATCAAGAATATGTTTAAATACTTACAAAACATGGTCACTAATTCCTAAGATAAAAGTAATTTTGAGTAGTAGAGTTGGACCAGTAAAGCTGAGAAGAAAATGATCAAATTGAAGCCATGACTAGGGAGAAAAAATATTGTGTTTGGCATAATCTCAGACCAGTGATATGAAATTGATTCTGTGGGTTTTACATACTCAGATCCAAACAGCCATGAAGAAAAATATTTAGAAAGAAAACCTGCATCTCTACAGAACATGTACAGATGTTTTATCCTGTCATTATTTTCTAAACAATTCAATATAACAACTATTTATATAGAATTTCCATTGTATTGGATATTGTATGTCATCTACAGATGATTTTAAATGTGTAGACGTATGTTCTTAGGTTATTTGTGAAACTAATCTATTTTATGTGTGATCTGGTCATCCATAGATTTGGTATCCATGGGGGTTCCTGGATGCAATACCTTTCAGATACAAAGGAATAACACTCTTTATTTTCAGTTTTGGAAACTAATCACATTTCAGGCAAGAGGAGGAAATAAAAACCAGACATGATTTAAAAAGACATCTGCCTTAGAAATAAAGGCTATAACCCTTCAGTTGCCTGAAATAATTCTAACCTTTGGTTCTTGCAGAGATCTTCAGAATCTATATATATTTTTAAAACTGGGATGTCAGATTTCTAAAATTACTGCCCAAGGGAGGTGTAAAAACAAAATTTAAAGATCAGTGAACTCTTTCCTTATTGACACCTTTTTCTACTCATATATTTTTTCAAATGGAAAGTGACAAATTTTCCAAATCTCAAAAGTATTTCACTAAAAACTTATTTTTAATTGAGGAAAACTTTATAACTTCTACAAGCATGTACTAATCTAACCTCCTAAATAATTTTTTAAACACATTATAGCAAACACGAAGAGATTAGAGGGTACAACTAGCAGGAGTCAGTTCTCTCCTTCCACCATGTGGATTTCTGGAATCAAACTGAGGGTGTTAGCCTTGGCATCAAATGCACTTATGCACTGTGCCATGTTGCACACCTGTTTTAGGTAGTTCTTAAGGAAGTACAGTCACATTAATATTTCTACATTATAGAGTTTTCCTCTATTTCAAATTACAATCTATAGCACCATAATAATTTATATTTGTCAGTCTCACAAATTCCATTGTTCATAATCACTTATATATCCAAGAAAACATTATAATACCTATTTATTTTCTAGGAAGCAAACTTTATTTCTAGGAGCAAGTTTCACAACAGAACTGAGTAGAAAATACAGAGTTCTTGGCTATTTGTTTCTCTGAATATAGACACAACTTGCCCACTTTAACCAGTCTTCACCAGACAAGTACATTTTTTAAGATCAATGAACTTACTTTGGTATCACCACATCTGACATTTGCTCTATGTATTAAAGTTGATCTTCTACAGATTTTTGTCAGATGGATAATGACATACCCACCTTTGTTTCATTACCCTAACATTCTTGTGTGCTCAAGATCCTCATTTCTTGTACTAATCCCTGGAAATAATTAATACATTTTTACTCCTGCTGTAGTTTGAGCTTTCTAAATTATTGTCGTATAATTGAAATCACATGATGGATAGCCTTCCAAATGTCACATTTCCCTTAGTGATATGCATCTAACTTTCTTGTGTGTCTTTTCATTGCTATGATAGTTCACCTTTTTAGTAGTAAAATACATTCTACTGTCTGACTACCTGAACTTATCCACTCAACTTCAGAATACCTTGACTGCTTTTATGTATTGATACTTATGAGTATAATGTATGTAGGTTTTTCTTTATGTGTATAATTTTAACTCCACTGGATAAATACCAAAGAGTACAACTGTTGAATTGTGTGTTAAGATGTTTAATTTACTGAGAAGCTGCCAACTGCCAGGCTAAGCAGCTATATTGTGTTCATTTCCATCAGCAATGAATGGGCCTCCATTACTCTACATCCTTGCTAGCTTGTGTTCTAGTCAGTTATTGGAGTTTTTGTCATTTTAACAGATGCACTGTATTGCTGTTTCACTGAAGTTCATTACTGTGTAATGGTAAGCATTTGTTTTTCATACACTTTCATGTCATTTGTATGACTTTTTAGTGTGGTATCTGTTAAATGAGATTTTT